AGTCGCACCGATGAACTTTTGCAGCTCGCGGTCGCATCTGTCGGTCAGCTGGTCCAGGGTGTACTGGTTGGCCACGCCCAACAGCTCGATCACATCATCGGGTGACACCTTGGCGAAGTCGACGTCGTCCGTGTAGAGGAACTCCAAGAACATGAGGAAGATCGGGTAGTGCAGGTCGAGTGGGATCTTCTCTGCCGTGCTTTCCCTCATACCTGCTCGAGTTCATCGTTAACACCTACTAGGACGCGCAACAATACGACACACGAGCAAGAAGGCGCACCAGAAAGGAACATGGCCTGGAATTGAGGGCAGCGGGAGGTGATGACCACCTTGTGGCACGGCACGTCGCGTCCTTCCACCTCGAAGATCACGTCCGAGAACAAGGGCGAGCCGAGCGCGTTCTGCCTCAGGTCGTCTCCCAGCGATGACGCCACCTTCATCACGTTACACGCACATTTGCGCACACGGTCATGCATGTTCACACTGTTCGCGGTGGGGCTGTGCCTCACGTACCTTGCCCTTCTGGATGAGACAGGCGAGCGTGCGCTTGTAGGACTGCGGAATGTACGCCTTGACGAGCGACAGCAGCTGCTGGGCACGGTGCGGGCACTGCAATAGCAAAGTTAGGGTGACTGCCCTCGTGAGAGTAGGGGAGGGTGGTTACACTAACCGAGGTCAAGTGGTCGGTGTAGCACAGCTCCATGAGCACTTGGAAGAGCTCTCGCGGGATGTCATTGATGTCGATCGTGAGGCCCTCCTCATCGCGTCCCTGTAGCAGGTCTCTGAACTTCTGGCTTCGCGAGGCGAGCACGATCTTGTGAGCCTTGATCAGCGCGTTGTCCTCGTTCGGGAAGCGGAACGTCACATCCGCGAAGTCGTTGGTGATGAACGCGTTCTTCATGTCCGACTCGAGCGTCGTACGCGTGCCCGTCTCCATCACGCGCACGGTGGTGTTGTACTTCTCGAAGAAGTAACCGCCATAGCAGTAGAGGCTCGACCCGACCAGCGTCAGGTTGTGTCCGCTGAAATTGGCCATCGTCCACTTGGACCTCTGCCCGCCGATCTTCAGCTGCATAGGCGCACCATCGTCGTCAGCCAGAGATGGCCAGGCAAAGACAGAGGTGGGAGAAGCGTGCCTTGACGGCCGACCAGGTAAAGTTCTCAGTGTCGAGAATGTTGAGATCGTCCAACCCCGAATCGAACATCCCTCCAGCCAGGTAGAAGAGCTTATTGCCGACGAGCGCCGAAGCGTGGCCACTGCAGGCGCGGGGCTGGCCAACCACCGACTGCTTGTAGAACCTACGCCGATGTCGCAAACGTGTAAGAACAACCAACAACAAAGAGGGCGGTGTGTGGTAGTACCTCATCACGCCCGGGTCGAGAATGTGGAGGTCGTTGTAAGCGCTCGCGCCAGTTCCTCCAAAGATGAATATCTTGGTGCGGACCTGGTTGCCCGTGTGCCAGGCCCGAGCAGGCGGGATGTCGCCAGACGGGTTCTGCTTGCGCCATTCCAGCGTCTCTGTAAGGAGAACGGGTCAGCCACACTCGAGCGGTTCCGCTGTGCACTAAGAAGAAGGG